AAAAAAAAAAAAAAAAAAATTAGCCAGGTGTGATGGTGTGTGCCTGTAGTCTCAGCTGCTTGGGAGCCTACAGTGAGCTGAGATCTCCCCACTGCACTCCACCTAATCGACAGAGCAAGACCCTGTTTTCAAATAAATAAACAGTTTTGTTTTGTTTTTTTTTTTTGAGACAGAGTTTCGCTCTTGTTACCCAGGCTGGAGTGCAATGGCACGATCTCGGCTCACCGCAACCTCCGCCTCCTGGGTTCAGGCAATTCTCCTGCCCCAGCCTCCTGAGTAGCTGGGACTACAGGCACGCACCACCATGCCCAGCTAATTTTTTGTAGTTTTAGTAGAGACGGGGTTTCACCATGTTGACCAGGATGGTCTTGATCTCTTATCCTCGTGATCCACCCGCCTCGGCCTCCCAAAGTGCTGGGATTACAGGCTTGAGCCACCGCGCCTGGCCAAACAGTTTTTAAAAAAGGAAATTGGCTGGGCACAGTGGCTCATGCCTGTAATCCCAGCACTTTGGGAAGCTGAGGTGGGCAGATTGCCTCAGGTCGGGAATTTGAGAGCAGCCTTGGCCAACATGGCAAAACCCTGTCTCTACTAAAATACAAAAATTAGCTGGGTGTGGTGGCAGGTGCCTGTAATCCCAGCTACTTAAGAGGCTGAGCCAGGAGAATTGCTTGAACCCAGGAGGCGGAGGTTGCCATGAGCCGAGATCATGCCATTGCACTCCAGCCTGGGCAACAAGAGTGAAACTCAATCTCCAAAAAAAAAGAAAAGAAAAGAAAATAGGGCTAGGTGTGGTGGCTCACACCTGTAATCCCAGCACCCCAGCACTTTGAGAGGCCAAAGAAGGCAGACCGCTTTGAGACCAGCCTAGGCAACATGGTGAAACTCCATCTTTACAAAAATACAAAAATTAGCCAGGTGCGGTGGCGCTCACCTGTAGTCCCAGCTACTGAGGAGGTTGCAGTTGGAGGATCGATTGAATCCAGGGGGCAGAGGTTACAGGTAGCCATGATTGTCCCACTGCACTCCAGCCTGGGTGACAGGGCAAGACCCTGTCTCAAAATAAAATAAAAGTTAGCATTACCATTCAGGAGCTCATGGGCAAGTCACTAAATGCCTTTAAATTTCAGTTTCTTCACCTCTAGAGGAAGGTTTGAACGAGATCTCTTGTGAACACCCTCACAGCTCTGAATGTGGGTTTCAGACTCTGAATCTTTACCACTCCCTTATTGCTTCTCTTGCACAGGGATCATGGCCCAGGTAGCAGTGTCCACTCTGCCCGTTGAAGAAGAGCCCTCCTCAGAGAGCAGGATGGTGGTGACATTCCTCGTGTCTGCCCTCGAGTCCATGGTGAGACAGCCTGACACTTGTCCGACATTCCACAGATGGATTGTTGTCGAGATGACAGAATCATGAAACACTTCAGCATCCCTTTTATTTTTGAGAAGGAATCTCACTCTGTCACCCAGGGTGGAGTGCAGTGGTGCAATCTTGGCTCACGGCAACTTCAGTCTTCTGGGTTCAAGCAATTCTTCTGCCTCAGCCTCCTGAGTAGCTGGGATTATGGGCATGCACCACCATGCCCGGCTAATTTTTGTATTTTTAATAGAGACAGGGTTTTACCATATCGGCCAGGCTGGTCTTGAACTCCTGACCTCAGGTGATCTGCCTACCTTGGCCTCCCAAAGTGCTGGGATTTCAGGCCTTAGCCACTGCGCCCAGCTGCTTCAGTATCACTTTTGATGTTTGCCTTCTGCCTGACATCTGTATAAGGGTATCCTTTATAGAGGATAATGGACTTTTCAGATTATTTACATATTTGTTTATTACATTATGGATGCAATTATGTAAACTCAAGCTTCCCAGATCTGAAATGTAATGAATGGTAACCTATTTTACCATGTTTGAGAATATTTTTAAAATCTAACTTCAAAAGTAAATAGGCCAGGCACAGTGGCTCACTCCTGTAATCCCAGCACTTTGGGAGGCCAAGGCACACTGATGACTAGAGGTCAGGAGTTGAGACCAGCCTGGGCAACATGGTGAAAGCCCATTTCCACTGAAAATACAAACATTAGCTGGGTGTGGTGGCAGGTGCCTGTATTTCCAACTACTCAGGAGGCTGAGACACGAGAATCACTTGAACCCTGGAGGTGGAGGTTGTAGTGAGCTGAGATTATGCCACTGCACCCCAGCCTGGGTGACAGAGTAAGACTGTGGCAAAAAAAGAAAAAGTAAATAGGCTATTTATGTGTATCTATTTACATCCAAAAGGTCAACTTTACTTAGTGGGTGAAAATTTGATGAGAAATTTACGTAACTCCAAAGTATCTGATTGGAAGATATTTATTGACTAAAAAAGGAAAATCAGTAACTTTGCAGTACAGAAACCTGACAGATACCACGTTATTTAAGTGACCAAAATTAGCGTAGTCACCCTGTAATTCCAGCGGTTTGGGAGGCGAGGTGGGAGGATGGCTTGAGGTCAGGGGTTGGAGACCAGCCTGGGCAACATAGTGAGAACTTGTCTCTCCAAGACTATTTTTTTAAAAATTAGCTGGAGGGGGTAGCGCCGAGCCCAGGAGTTCAAGCCTGCAGTGAGCTCTCATGACACTGCACTCCAGCCTGCACGACACAACGAGACCCTGACTCTAAAAAAGAAATGAAACTTGGAATAAATTTTAAAAGCAAGCATTAAGGCTAGGCAGGGTGGCTCATCCCCGTAATCCCACCACTTTGTGAGGGCAGAGGATCACTTGCGCTTGGGAGTTTTGAGCCTAGCCTGGGTAACACAGCAAGACCTTGTCGCTACTAAAAAAATTTTTTTAATTAGCCAGGCATGGTGGCACATGTCTGTAGTCCCAGCTACTGAGGCTGGGAGAATCACTCAAGCCTAGGAGATCAAGGCTACAGTGAGCTAGGATCGCACCACTGTACTTCAGCAGGTAACAGAGCAAGACCCTCTCTCAAATAATAAAAATAATAATTAAGAAAACATTAGGATCTGTTGGAAGAAAACTCAAAATATCTCCCCCAGGGACATTGTATAAGAACTGATCACATTCCTTTCATTTGACAAATATCCAGGAAGCAGCTCCTAAGCCAGGCCGTCTTCTAGGCACTGGAGGCACAAGACTTGAGGTGTTCCCCCTCACAGAGATCTTACATCCTATGCGGGAGACAAACAATAAACAAGTTCGGCTGGGCGCAGTGGCTTATGCCTGTAATCCCAGCACTTTGGGAGGCCAGGGCAGACAGATTACTTGAGCCCAGGAGTTCAGGACCAGCCCGGCCAGCATGCTGAAAAGCCATCTCTACTAAACATACCAAAATTAGCTGGGCGTGGTGGTGCATGCCTGCAGTGTTAGCTACTTGGGAGGCTGAGGTGGGAGGATCACCTGAGCTGAGGAGGTTGGGGCTGCAGTGAGCTGCGATCACATCACTGCAAACTAGGCTGGGTGACAGAGTGAGACCTTGTTTCAAAAAAACCTGATAAATTCGATGTGTGTGTTTCTTATCAGTAAATAAAATACAAAGAAAAGGAGGCCAGCTGCAGTGGCACACACCTATAATCCCAGCACTTTGGAAAGCCAAGGAGGGCAGATCACCTGAGGGCAGGAGTTGAGGCCAGCCTGGTCAACTTGGCGAAACACCGTCTCTACTAAAAATACAAAAATATCAGCCAGGTTTGATGGTGGGCACCTTTAATCCGAGCTAACCTGGGAGGCTGAGGCAGAGGTTGCAGTCAGCCAAAATCGTGCCACTCAAAAAAAAAAATTGTCATGTATATATGAAGAGACAACCAGAAAGTCTGTAGCCAAAAATGTAGGAAAAAGGCGTGTTGGAGACCCACGTCAGGCAGTAAGTAAAAATATGTCCTTTGGGTTTTATGATGCTTATGGTGTTTGCTTAATAAATTGTTTTTTTTTT